ATATTCCCAAACCTGATGCCCCTTTTTAATTATTGTTTAACATATTTTAAAACATCTGGCACAGAAAGGAGAAAGTGATTTAAAATATTATCTGTTTAATTTGCTAACCTTCTTATGCCCTTTTGGAAACAGCTTGTTCAAAGTCCACAGAGATTTAGATACTCAGAATAACCCTTCTGTATCACTTTCTAAACTGAATTTTGCTACATGCAATTTGGATTTCTCTGAAATAAGCAACCACAGGGGTTTGAAAATTCTAGCACAGATTTATAACGAGATGAAAAAGATTGGACACTGCCCAGAAATGTGCGATGGTACTCAAAGCAGAATGACATTTGCTCAGTAAAGCTGCTACAGTAATACTTTCCCTCAATAGTTTTCCATGAAATTTGACTTCTTGTAAGCAGATTACCTTCATTGACAATGTAGGGACAGCACTTAATAACAGTGAATTATATCAACCAAGCTACTAAAATTAGTAATGATTTTGTTTATAAATAGCTATGTAACTGTATTTCACTTTGTGAACCATAAAGTGTAGCTTTGTGCATTGAACCCCTGTTAACTTACCATTTTACTCTTGTTTAGAGGATTAATTTTTAAGGGTTTTCTCTTAAACTACTATTATTCTTTACATGTTATTCTTTACAGTTGGGGAGAGTGGGCATGCATTCACAGGGGATATGAATTAGAATGTTCAAGTATATGTGTGGATTGAAAAATTTTGCTTCTCTTAAGGTTCTTATATGAGAGGGTGCCCCAAACAACCAGAATTTATTTTATTTATTAAAAAAATTGGCTATTTATTCTTACATGTTTAAAATTCAGTCACCTTCAAAGTACTCTCCATTTGCTACAATACACCTATGGGGACATTTTTTCCATTACTCAGAACAGTTTTGAACTCATTGATTTTAATGCCTTTTAGGCTTCTGCCATTTTTTATTTTACCTCTTCCACATTGGCAAAACATTTCCCTCTGAGGACTTTTCATGCAGGGAAACAAAAAAAAAGTTGCTTGGGGTGAGATTGGGTGAATAAGAAGGCTAGTGGAGGTCATATTGTTTTTTTGTCAAAAACTGCTGAACACTCTGTGGTGTGGGCAGATGTACTTATAAATCACCTGTCATGAAATGGGCAAATGTGTTGAAAGATTCTTCAAAAAAAGTTCACCGAAGATAAATGAAGCCTCTCACAACAATGCCAGCTGGTACACTGATACAGATAGGTTTCCAGAACACTCACCTAGCAGGGGAAGCCTATATTACAAGGAGCTTGCCCTTCAGAAGACAATTCTGTTTTTGGGGGGTCCCCCCTTGTATACCTCATTAGGAGGCATTCCCTAACTTGTAGATGAAAGTCTGTAGAGTAAAATGATTAAGCTGTTATGAGAAATTAGCTTTGCATTTTAAATAAAAGCATCATGCATGCCTACTATAGTATTAAAACATTAGTGTCACTTTATCTTGAGATAGGAAATCAGAGAGGGAAAAGAGCTTTCTTCTTATCTTTGTAATAATGATTTTTTTATTCTCAACAAAGATGGCCTATTATTTTGAAAATAAAATAATAAAACTGTAAACCTAAAAAGAATTCCAACAGGTCACTTTGGCCATTGCCTTTGAATCCAGAAAAACTGAATATTAATATATCTCATTTAAATTGCTGTACTCTTTTGAAAGCTGTCTTGCATTCAATATCCCATTTGGGGAAAACAGGAAAAGAGAGGATGGGAGTTTAGAAGTCTGCCCAGCTTGGCTCAGGAGTGAGATCAAGTCAGACGGCATCACAAGATGCAAAAATTGAGAAGGGTTGGAAGAGAGTTTGGAAGATTTTGGAGAGATCCCTTTTGTGATGTGGCAGCATAAAGAGGAAAAGCAGCCTTTGACTTTGGACAATAATACACGTGGCAAGTGAATTATCAAATGCATTAAGTCAGTTCAGATTCTTTGTCAAAGTCAGGATGGGGCTCAGTAGCACAAAGGATATGTAGGTTCCTTGGTTAGAACACTTTATACCACTCACTGTAGTTTAAGTATCGGTATGTGTCTGCTGGGGGCCAGGAGTTTGTCATGATGGTGGTTCTTCGTGATCTTTTTTTTTTGTTTTCTTTGCTCTGCGTTCTTCTTGAACACCTCCTTTGGTCTGAGGCTGCTAATGGCCTCATTGGGAGTCCCTGGCAGTACATATCTGGTTCTCTTTTTGGGTTACAGCATAGAGTGGTGGAGTGTTCTACATATGGTTGGGTATTCGTATTTTACACAGACTGGGAAGAGGTGTCAGATAACATTTTCATCCTGGTGATCTTCTCTGTGGCCCCTTGGCTATCTGAGCTCTTGTACTGAACTTTTGATCCCATTCATGATGGCTCCACTCTCATGACCTAACATTGCCTCCCAGAAGCCTCACCACTAAAAATCATCACATTGGAGATTAGGGTTTCAACATATGAATTTTTGGGGGATGTAAATATTCAGTCCAGAGCACCTACCTCGGATGGCTTCCTTCTTCTTACTTTTTATTTCTTTTTAATCACTCTACTACTCATTCTGCTCCCTTCCTACAAAATACGAATGCAGTTTTTCTAAAAATGTTTCCTTGCCCTGCTTTCTTTTCTTTTCTTTTTGCTTCCTTTCAGTAATTATATAGTTGAGCCTTAAGGTCTGCATAGTTGACCTCAGATCTATGTGTTTGCCCCGACCATTGTTAACATGTGGGTATACCTATTTGGATGGTCATCTGACTTTTGAAGACAGAAGGCCCAGACTGAACTCATACTCTTCCCTCTTCTTCCTGCAATTATTCAAGCATTCTTGTTATCAGATTTGAAACCCAACAATCATTCTTTGCATCTTCCCTTGATTTCCTGCTTTTGATAAATTTATCAGTCCTGTCCCTATGATCCCTCTAGAATGTCTGTTTTTGTTGTTGTTGTATTGGCACTGGCTAACTGCAATGTACTGTGGTTTTGGCATGCCCAGGGACATGCTGGAATGGAAGTCATAGTTGCCAGGTATGAGCATGTCCTATGTACAATAATGCAAGGGGTAATTCATGGGACTTAAGTTCTGGCAATGAAGATAGAAATCATGCTGTTCATAGAATATGAAGAAGCATTTTATTTGTAGGGTATGTAGCTGGCAAGTGGCCATCTTTAGCTCCTCGCTGCTTGTTGGCTGGGGGCTACCCTCAGTGCTTTGTCATATGGACCTTCCCAGAATTGCTACATGGTTTATCGAAATCAGCATGACAGAGTGTCCTTCCAAGCTGCAGCTCACAATCCTATGTAACCTAATCATGGAAGTAAGTGACACCCCATCACCCCAATCTCTTCATTATTTTGTTGGTTAAAAGTAAACTACTGGTCTCATCTACACTGAAGTTAGAGGGGATCATACAAGGCTTGAATGGCAGGAGAGGGGATGATGGGGGTTATGATAGAATCTGTTGACCACATATAGGAGGGGAAGAAACACAATTCTTGTCACTTCTGTAATTCCATCAATGGTAAAGCCTCATTGACAATATTTATTAAGGTTAAATGTCAAATATTTCAGGCATTAGAAAGTCAGAAGAAGTTTTTTTTCCCTGTTTATTCACTTACTAGGCAAAGATGCAAGTTTTTCTACAGGGTTTTGAAGGTTGTCTTGCTGGATAATTTCTGCATTATTATTTTAAAATAATTGCTATCAATGGGTTCATTATAAAGCAGAATACTTATTAAGTAAAGCCCTGATTTTGTTTCCTTCGGAAAAGTGACTGTGGCCAAAGAAGTTACCTTCACTCTTAGCCTCAAAATGTACTCTCTTTTAAAGTCCTTTAAAACTATATCTGTTATACTTTCTCTATATAAGGTAGGTCTCTAATGCTGTTGTCGTTTTACAAATGTGTAAATCAAGTCACAGACTTAGACACAGTTAATCAGGAGCAAAGGTTTTAGATGCCCTAAGAGTTGATCTCTTTCTTTTTCACTAAACCATGCTTTTTCTTCAAATTTATTATAGTCAGCCTGTGACTATCTGGTAAATATATCCCCTTGGCTTTATCATGCTTGTCAATTCCTCTGTTCCTTGTCTTCGCCATTTGGTTCTCTCTCTCTCTTATCATTTTCTATTCCAGTGATTACTTTCAGTGCCCATCTCTGCCTTCCATTTTGTACCCTACTTTTTTAAATAGAATTTTTCTGTTTCACACACTATGCATATAGGTATTTACTTTTATGAAGTCATTAATGACTTGATAGCTTTCTCCTTAGAATCACTGAAGTGAATTAATTAAGGTATTTCCTGTGAGATTTGGTCAATTTTCCTTGACTTGAATTATTATAATCTGTACAAGTTTCTGCTTCCACTCTGTCACTACTGTAGACCTGAAAAAAGATTTCTCAGAGGACTGAAGAAATCTGGGAATATGTTCTACCCTGTCCAAATGAGACCCCTTCAGGGTCAAATCACTTAAGACATTTGAGTGAAGCAGAGAATAATTTTAATTAAGAGCTTAAGCTTATAAGCACAATAAATCTTTTCTTTAAAAAAATGTACATAGAATTATAAATAAAAAGAATAAATAGATATAGGTACTTTTTCTCTACCTGTAATTTTAGAGATATAAGCAGATATTTTTAAGATGAAGCAAAAACAAACAATAAAATTAATACAGCAAAAGCATTATCAATGAATAATAATCTCTCATTCATAATTCTTAAAAGCAGAACAGTTTGGTAAACTTTTACTTGGATCCATTTTAAATTGTCAAAATTAGGTTCACTTACCTAGTTATGTTCGGAGGTCAGGAATTCCTTGCCATTGGAGCACAATATTTACATTTCCATGAGCAAACAAGTGTCTACCCCATGTGTGCATCAACTACATAATGCATGCAAACACTTGGATGTTCCAAACCTACCTTTCTATCACCCAGATGACAGTGCTGCTGGTTTTGTTGTTTGAAGAATTTGGAGTCATGCAATACAGGTTGGAGATCAGGAGGCTAACACTCACCTAATGCAGGTGCCATTGTTGTGACATTGATGATGAGCACACCAAGGGGCATGGCAGTTCTCAATGTTCTTTCCATGCAGTGCTTCCTCACTGATGAAGTATTCTTTGTGATTTACCTGAAGCTCTCCAATGCAGCCCTTGAGCCCATAAATAGGGCCGGCCTTCTTATGGGTCTTAACATTTTCAGGAACATGGCCAAGGAACATTGACTCAAAATGTACCTGTAGAAAAAAATAACAATAAAAATCTTATAAGGTGTTGTTAAATTATAGGCGAAAGGCCTAGGATATTTTGTTCTGTAATTGCATGTTTTAGTGTGTTTTGTGTTAAACGAGTTTCAATTATTGGCTAGATTTGTCAAACCTACTAGGTGGTAAGATAAGTTACTTTAGAAAAGGGCTCCTATTTTATATTTCTTTTGTATCTCTCACAATAGCTAATACATTTTAGTACAAAAAAGGGGGCATTTGATAAAACTTGCTGATTGATTACTTTGAAATGTGTTTCTGAACTCAAGTGTTTGCATTTCAATGTGAACATTATGAAATAAATAATAAATGATAAACAAAATGAAAACTTCTTATTTAATTATTGTTAGATATTGAATGTACCCTCCAACTATTCATTCATATGTTGAAGTCCTAATCTCCAGTACCTCATAATGTGACCTTATTTGGAATTAGAACTTGTACTCATTGACCAGAATGATGATATGATCACTTTCATGATGTAAATTGCTACTAAATCTCTCCTTCCTAACCCCTCAGCAACATATATAAATTAAACTTTTATCATTTAGATGTACATTAAATGCAGCTTTCCTCAAGAGGAACCTATGAGCTACAGTTGAGGTCTGGATGGACTGGCAACGAGGTCTTCACCTTCAGGGCTGTTGGGCACATGACAGGGAGATGGCAGCAGCATATAGGCAGTTTATGTTTCTGCTGTGCTCAAACCTACAACTCACTCAGTCCAAGCTGATGTTGAAAAGTATTTAAACTGGTATTACAGACACAATAAAATGGGAAACTGTCATTGCAAGAATTAAAAAAACTAAAGCCAAATAATGAAGTTGTAACTCTGGTGGGAGGAGGGGATGGGAGATGCCCAGTGATGTCACAATATTTATACTACTGTTTTTTGGTTTAATGCAAATTTACTTCTAGAGAATAGAAGCATGTGAAATTTTAGGACATCAAAGTCTCCATGATCAAACTAATTCTGTTACTTGAGATCTTCTTCTTTTTTTAGTGACCTGGTCTTTGCTCTTAAGAGAATTCTTTTTTTTTTTTTTTCTGAGTACCTCATATAGGACTCAGAGAGTCACTCAGAGGATGACTACCTTTGGGTATAGTGGAGTGGAAGTTTCGAGGTGTATTAACAGAGTTTTCATGCAGTGTAGGAGTACATCTGTTTGTTTTCACATCCTTTTTCATATACTAGGTCCATTTATATCAATTACTCTAACGAATCATTAGCCAGGCTCTTTATCAGCTAAGATAAGTGACTCACTGCTAAGGCAATCTGGGATCTATCATGAACCTGCATGCTCAGCGAATCCAAGGCTATGACCTTCCTCTCACTGAGGATCCCTGACATCTGCATGTATTGATCACACACCTGGAACAGCAAACCTCTTGCTGCTTTGACAAGTGTGCTGTCTTAGCACAAAACTGATAGTGGATGAAAGAATATCCTCCTCTTCTGTTAGCAGTAGTCAGATCTGAGGGAAAGTCTGTAGAGCAATCTATGATTTATTAGACCATTAAAAACCACCCAAACAATGGAAATAAATAGCTCTTGTATTTCTTCTGATCTGAGGCCCCAACTTACTGGAGCCCTGGAAATGTCTAAAAAAACAGCTGTCATTGACTGCACATAGATAACTATTAAAATGGCTGACTTCCTCTCTCCCCAGGCTCTCAATTATCCAAGAGCTGCCTTTTGTGTGTATAATCATTCCTAAGAAGACAAGCCTTAAAAGGAAGTCTTTTCTAATAACTCCTTGTGAATCAGACTATGGAGAATAGAGTTTGACATCAAGATATGATCTTATAAGATAAAACCACAGAGAACAGACATGGACAATCAAGGAGGAATCATCAAGATAATGACAAATGTGAACAGTGACTGAGGCGAAAGGACTCCACATTGACAAGAATGAACAAACATTCCCTTTCCTCTCTGAGTTTATTTTTAAAGGAAGAATATAGTGCTCTTTTGTAATGTGTGGGAATAAAATAAGGAAATAAGCAAAAGGGAATGCATTTTTAAAAACTGAGGAGTGAGGGAAAGATGGATAAGAAGCAGCTTTAATCTCTTTTCTGCCTTGTCTTAAATTTAGATAGCAGGGTACTACATGCATTTCTGTTATAATGTCTCAATTAATGTTTATTTTTGTTTTATATTCTCGAATCTGTCTAAAGTTAAATAACTTTTTTGAGTTAATAAATTATAGGAAGTTAACTGAAAATGTATTTTTTTGGTTAAGATTAACTATCAGAGTATACTTATCTTTATCCAAGTATACAATGACAAAATTGAAATGAACTGAGTTTTATTTAGTGTGAGTGCAGATTTTTAAAATATTACTTGAATTATATGTAGATAAATTTAAAACCAGAGACATGGAGTCTTGGAATAAAGATGAATAAGAGATTTTCGATAAAGTGTTTAGGAAGAGGATGTATTTAGATAACTTTTCACATGTGATTTAAGTCTTAAATTCTTTAAGACTGTTTAGAGACATTAAATGAAAGGGAATTAAAAGGCAGAAAGAGTATTTATTCCTTTGCTGTTAGTATCGCTCCCCTCCTCCATAACATGATAATTGTGAGCATATAGTTTCTTTTATATTAATTTATGTCCCCCTTTAAAGCTGGGCCTCCATCCTTTGTCATCTTGGGGTTTTCTGAGTCTATAGCAGCAACTTGCAAATAGGAGGTTTGACACAAATTTGTGTATGACCTGATTTATGAAACCTAATCCTGCTTTCCTCCAGTCTCTTACTTGGCTTTTAGGCCTCTTCTCCTACATTATGCTGCCTTAGAAACTTGCTAGTTTGACAGATTCAGCATATGGGAAGTCCCTACTAAATACTATCCAGGAAGGAGTATTAACATGGTTTTAATTCTAACATATCTCTCTATACATATATTGCACAGAGTATAGGGTGGTGCTTATATGGAAGTTTTTTGAGTTACATAGGAGATTAATATCAAGTATGTTACACAAAGAGTTATTTTTTTAATTTGATAAATATCAGTGAAATCCTAATTGGTCCCATACTTCACAGTTAAACCTTTGTTCCTTAAGGCTTCCTAGGCTAAAGAATGTTCTCAAATAATATCTTCTCACCTGTAAAAGAAAGAACTGAACTTTAGTAAAGTAATCAATAAATTTAGTTGTTACTCTGTGAGCACATGGATATGTGGAAGTGGAGATACAAAAGAAGGTTGTGAAATTATTCTTGTCTATAAGAAAGTTAAATGTAACCTGGAGAAATAAATCATAAAGAAAGTAAAGTCTGAAAATACCAGCTTTCTGGTTAGCAAGATAGCAGAATAGGAAGCCCCAGATATTCCTCCCTTTTCTCATGTAGACACTAATTCAACAATACAGAGACAGAGACTCTTTGTGAGAAATGTGTAGATTCCATTGAGAGGCACTTGCACCTTAGGCCACTGTGAAACCAGCTATACTGAGGCCAACAGGAAAATGCGTGTTACTTACTCACCATAGCTCTCCTCTAGGTTCAGTGGGGCATGATTGAGAGAAAACTCCCAGTTTCCAGGTTATCTTTGGGGGAAATATAAAACTGAAACATCCATTTTTGTGTAGACTTTCCAGGGACTAGGTGCCGTCTTATCTGAATCTTAGTGTTGACGAGAAAGAGTGCCAGGTTGGGGCCAGTGAGAGGGGTGAAGGTTCAGATTAGCGTGTATTCATTCACTCAGGATAGTTTCTTCCCCCACCTCAGTGGGAGAAAGTAGGCAACCCCCCTCCCCAACTTCTGACTTCTCCCTGGGGATGGAAACAGTTGGGACATGTATCCAAAATTACAGCTATTCAGGGGGCAGCCTGAAGAATGAGTTTCTGTCTCCTCTGTCTTGGAGTAGTGACAGGACCTGACATACACTAGATTGCTGATAACAAAGGAGAACTAGATGGTGTCCTGCTGCTCCAGAGGCCCCATGATGCAAAACACAGAAACTGATTCAGTTTGGTGGCTTCTTCCTGGGGCCGGGGTGGGGGTGGACAGAGGAGAGCAGGGCATGCTTCTAACATTTTGGATTTTCAGCAGGTTTCTGAGAGACTGGTTCTTATTTCGCCTGTCTTGGAGCTCCAATGAGACCCAGCATAGTCTATACACCCAGGGGCTGCTGAGAACAAAAGAAAACTAGGCAGTTTGTGGCACCTCTAGAGAACCTGCTGTACTGCAGACAGACAGTAGAGGAAGCAAAGACCACAAGCACTCCAAAGAGACACCGGCAAATTCATATAACACAGAATTTCCACACACAAGTCAGAGAATACACATCCATAGAAAAGGTTTAAGAGTATAAGACATTAAAAAAAAAAAAGAAAGAAAAGGTTTGAAAGGGTATCAGAATCTGGCTAAGGTGATTAATGTAGGTTCTTTCCTATACAAAGTCATTCCATAAAGAGTGGGAGAGATGCCTGTTTTTTCAAATGTGTGAATCCTACCACAAAGTGACAAGGCACAGGGAGATCAGGAAAACATAGCCCAATCAAAGGGACAAAATAAATCTCCAGAAACCAGCCCCAAAGAAATGGAGGTATATATATATATGAATATAACCTGACAATAAATTCAAAATAACTGTCATAAAGCAGCTCAATGGACTTAGGAAAATGAATCATGAAGAAAATGAGGACATAAACAGAGATATAGAAAATGTAGAAACCAAGCAGAAATTTTGGAGCATAAGATAGAAAACTGAATTAAAAAAAATTCACTAGAAGAATTCAGAAGAAGACTTGATCAAGCAGTAAAAGGAAGCACCAAACTCAAAGACAGGTAATTTTAAATGATCCAGTTAAAGAAGCAAAGGGGGAAAAAAGATTAAAAAAAGGAGTGACCGTAACCTAAGTGATTTGTGATACATCATCAAATGGACAAATATATCCATTATGATAGTCCAGAAGTATAAGAGAGAGGGATAAAGGGCAAGAAATCTTATTTGATGATATAATGGCCCAAAACTTTCCATATCTGTGAGAGAAAATGGACATTCAGATTCAACACCCAAAGCACTAAAACAAGAATGAATATAAAGAGGTCTATACCAAGACACATTACAATCTATTTAAAAATCTCTATTATAATGAGCAGAGTCAGGGGTAGATATTTTTTTTAACAGTTTGTGTTAAAGTTCATGACTTAAAATTAGGTGGGTTCAACTCTAAATCCTCAGTGCTTAAGTCTTTATTCCACAAATTTCCACCTGCCTCTCATTGTAACAAAAGAGGAAAAGGGATTAGCAAAAGGTGTAGTTACAACAAACAAATGGAGGCTGGCTCCAGGGGGCTATGATAAACCATAACTCCAGGACGGGGGTCTAGTCTGCCAGATTTTGTGACAGACAGCCTCCATGAGGGGGATTAAAAGGAGCTTTGGAGTTAACTCACTTTAGAAGCCATCAGTGATTTACTGAGACTTCAGAGCACTTGAGTTGGGATGAACACAAGAAGGCAGAGTGTTGTAAAAAAAAACTTTACAGAACCTAAGCACATTGTCTCTTTAGCACCTTAAAACTACCCAAATTCTTTTCAATTTAAATCATAAGTTCTATTCCCATGTGTTGGTCTTTGTGAGTACTTGCATATTACCTGGGACATTCTGATCAGTATCTCATTCAGTCAACCTAGAGTATGAGGGGACTGATTTGTCACAAGGGCTACAGATACAACATATTTGTCATTTTTGACAACAAAAGGGTATTTATTGAACATTTGTTGAATTCTGTGGATTAAATATATGGTCCATTGATGACTATGATAATAGTATACTGTGTGTTATTTATAATAAAATATGAAGCTTTTAATATAAAAATGGATAACTAAAATCACACGGAATACTTCACATTAGATTTTTTTATACACAATGATCAGTGTTTTACGTATTATCCACTATTTGAATATTTTATGTCATGAATCTAAAAATGTGACCATCTTGGGTTGTAGCATGACTTTTAAAACATGAAAACTAATTTTATTCCTATTTAACAATCTACCTGACAGTTTTGAATCTGTGGCAGTAGCAAATGTAGAAGAGTTAATTAAATGTATTATAAAGGATCACAAAAGTGTTGGGATTCAGAAAACCTGGGATCAAGTTTCTGTCTTTCTCACTATGAAATTTTGGACAACTGCTACTCAGTTTCCTCAGATTTGTATAAGGGATAATCATTACTTTGTAGGGTTCTTGTGAGTATCAGATGAGATAATATATGACCATAATTTGGAAAAGGTATTGTGCTTATGAAAACATTAGATGTTCTTATGCGCCTCTTTTAGATGCCTGCATCTAAACTGAACAAGAGACCAGGTAGAAAAATGGAAATAAAATAAAATTTCCAATTCATTAGGGCAGTACACACTGCAGGCATTAATGTGTACCAAAATTAGCACTTTGGAGCTCTAATTATACCCATTAACTCTCCATGCTGATCAAATGAACCAGGAATTCTTCATCTTAAATATATTGCTATAAAGTCATGCTAAGAAGCATGTAACCAACCACATCAGTACAATGAAAAGAATTCAGCAAGTTGTCTATTCTCTAGTGGGACAGACATTCTCTCTTTTTTCAATTTAGCTTCATTGAAGTTTCTAAGAGAAATTTCAATTAACAGCATATCAGAAGCACTACCATGTCCTATAAAAGTGTAAGTTTTTCTGGTATGAATGACTCACGGATATGGACAACAGTGTGGGGATGGACTGTGGGAGTGAGGTGTGGGATGGGTGGGACAGGGCAAAGGGGAAAAACTGGGACAACTGTAATGGAATAACAATAACAAATGATTTAATAAAAAATGTAACTTTTTGAAGCACTGTTTTGTATCTTGCGATTTTCCCCGTTCCTGAGCTTTTTCTTAAATCAAGCATATCACATAGCAAGTTTGAGAAGAAAATAAATTTCATGATAAATTTAATAAAACTTTTAAACTGACAGGCAACATTAAATATATTTAATTATACCTAAAATATCAGAGGTGAATATTCTGGTGTTTTGTTGGGAGATTTTACAAGGGATTTGTTAATTAAAACTATGATTAATACAATAAATTAAAAATAAATACTTAATTTTAAATATTGAGGGCACATTTAGTAATGTTTGAAACTGGAGATATGTATACCTACCTGAGAGGCCTGGGATATTTTCAAGTCTTTCTTCCGTATTGGAGGTTTTCCATCTGCAGTCATTTCTATCATACAAGCAACCCCAGGACTGTCAGCAGGCATTGTGAAGCTAGAAATAAAAAAGAAGAGGCCATTAATATATGTGTTATTGCCAAGAAGGGGTAGCTTCACACATGGGTGGTAAGTACAGCTTCAATGAGAAAGGTACTTTCTGGATCACAATAATCCTGAAATATGGCTGCAACCAAGTGTGAACATTTTAGTATAGATAAAAGATATATTTCTTTTGAACACTGCATTTTATTCTCCTTGTCTCCTCCTGTCTTTAAATCAGGACTTGAAATGCTTTCAGAAAGTTAAACTCCCACAAAACAAAAGGAACTTTATGTGTTTAAGTAGGTATTGATAAATTTTAAGTGCTAACTGTGGTTGACATATGGTCTCACTCATGTAGGAGATTGTTGGACAAGTAACATCAATGCTAAATGATGCTGAACTCCCTTGGTAGAAATTTCCCCTCCCTGGCCTACAGGGGAAATAGAAATGGAATAAGAAATGAAAGGCTGCATACCCCAGGGCAGTGAGATTACACTGTGATACAGTTATCAGAACTCAGAAAGCATGCTGCTAATGTACTGGCTGGTAGTACTGCATTTCAGAGATAAAGAAAAGTATAAGGTTAAGGGAATTTGTAGAATGAATAGCAGAAATGGTCAATACATAATTGAAAATTTATCAGAGTTACAGAGTGATGCAATCAGATGAAAATGTACACATATTAAAGTACTTGGCATATTTTTTAAATAGAATTTTAGAAGATAATTCAAATGATATTATCCTGTCACTTGACATATGTAGTAATAGTAACTTGCACTGTTATGAAGTCTACTTCATAGAGATATTAGGAAATACATTTACTAATACTTATAGTGGCAATCTCTGCACACTGAACATATGAATGATTTTAATGCTCACTTATGCTTATTTGTATTTTCTAAATTTTTGACTACAAACACACCTATTTTTAATTTTTAATTTTAACCAGCTGCTCTAAATTTGTCCAAGATAGTGAGAGTTCCTAGGACATGGGATATTTTATGCTTAAACCAGGGAAGTTCCAGGCAAACAAGATCATTTGTTAATTTTACTTTTCTTTTTTTTTAATTATTTTATTGTGTTCAATTACAGTTGTCTGCATTTTCTCCCTCCAATTTCCCCCCAACCCCAGCCAAATTCACCTCCCTCCCTTGCTTCCACCCTCCACCTTGGTTTTGTCCATGTGTCCTTTATAGTAGTTCCTGAAAACCCTTCTCCCCACTGTCCACTCCCCCCTCACCTCTGGCTATTGTTAGATATTTCTTAATTTCAATGTCTCTGGTTATATTTTGTCTGCTTTTTTCTTTTGCTGATTAGGTTCCAGTTAAAGGTGAGATCATATGGTATTTGTCTTTTACCACCTGGCTTATTTCACTTAGCATAATGCTTTTCAGTTCCATCCATGCTGTTGTAAAGGGTAGGAGCTCCTTTTTTCTGCTGCACAGAATTCCATTGTGTAAATGTACCGTAGTTTTCTGATCCACTCATTTGCTGATGGGCACTTAGGTTGCCTCCAGCACTTGGCTATTGTAAATTGTACTGCTATGAACATTGGGATGCATAGGTTCTTTTGGATTGGTGTTTCAGGGCTCTTAGGGTATAATCCCAGCAGTGGAATTGTTACAGGGTGCAGCCAAGAGGGGGGACCCCAAATAGGCATTTGAAATGGGGTCCAGAACTCAAGGTGTCCAGGAGATTTTAAGGTGTCTTCACCCCTTCCCCCACAGGTGTGAGTTGGGGGAAGGGGCACACAGAGCAAGAACATGCAGGGCAGCTTTGCAGCTAATCCATGGCATGGTCATTTAGCATACCTACAGCCTTTGGCTGGTCACTTAGATATGCTAAATAACTATGGTCATGCTCAAGGCCAGGGGGATGGAAAGGGATCTCCCCACCAAGATGTGACTGGGAGGCAGGTCCCCTGAGTTACAGCGCCTGTGTGGGAGCTGGGAGAAGATTGGCTCCAGGACATGGGGTGACACCTGCCCAGACCCACGATGGCGACCAGAAAAGCTGGAGAAGACAGCAGATTGAGGGCAAGTGTGCCCAAGTGGAGGAGGAGTCGGAAATGGGGCTGCAGAAGAAGATTGGCGCAGGGGATTTAAACCCAGACACGGCAGCCATTGAGGGAGAACCACGCGGCTTTGGACAGAGTGGGGACTCTCCCCTTCCCGCAGCCCTGAGGAAGGATAACCACGCGGCCTTGACAGAGTGGAGACTCCCGTGGCCCTGGGAGAGAGGACCACATGCCTGTGCCAGAATGGGGACCCCCACAGCTTTAGAAGGGGGAACCACCACCTGGTTTTAGCAGAGATCCTGGCGACTCAGCCGAGGGTGCCAGGAACCCAGGGAGGTCTCCCAGTCGAGATGGAGTACTAACTGGGAAGACCCAGAGGACTGCCTGAGCCATGGACTTCTATTTCCTTTCCTGAGATACGGTACTCTGGACTGGGCAAAGGGGGAAGGAAGGAAAGACTGTGTGTTTGTGGGTGTTTTTAGAGACTTTAGGAATTTTGATAAAGATATTAGGTCACTACTTTAAGTTAGTATAGCATTAAATAAACATTTCCTTTCCTTTTCACGAATCTCTGGCATTGAGAGACGTCTTTCCTAGGGTGGCGGACATAATGGACCTGGGGCCTTATTTCAATAATAGTATATCGTCCCAGGCCCCCCTTGTTGTGTTCTGTAACAGAATTGCTGGGTCAAAAGGCAGTTCCACTTTTAGTTTTCTGAGGAAATTCCTACTGTTTTCCACAGTGTCTGCACCAGTCTGCATTCTCACCAACAGTGCACTAGGGTTCCCTTTTCTCTGCATCCTCTCCAATACTTGTTTGTTGATTTGTTCCTGAGGGCCATTCTGATTGGTGTGAGGTGGTATCTCATTGTGGTTTTAATTTGCATCTCTTTAATGGCTAGTGATGCTGAGCATCCTTTCATATGTCTCTGGGCCCTCTATATGCCTTCCATGGAGGAAGGTCTCTTCAAGTCTTTTGCCCATTTTTTAATTGGGTTGTTTGTCTTCCTGGAGTGGAGTCATGTGAGTTCTTTATATATTTTGGAGATCAAACCCTTGCCTGAGGTGTCATTGGCAAATATATTTTCCCATATAGTTGGTTCTCTTTTAATTTTAATGCTGTTTTCTACTTTTCAAATAAAAGTCACTTGTACTGAACACTCATTGGTTAAATCATTTACCAATCTTTTTTCTTAAAATTAATGTTGGAGAGTAAGTGGAATGGAAAACAAAATGCAACACCCTTCTTACCCTCCTCCATCTCCCCACAAAGAGACAACTGTCTGCAGATTTTCTTCCTTCTTGCCTAGAAATACAAATCTGATACACAAATCTGATATGGCCTTGCAATACATCATTTCGTTACTTTTTTGGATCCACTGTAGTTTTCCAAAGTCACTTCTAATTCTGATCGGATTGCTGTTAAAAATTCTAAAAATAACTTCTAGAGTATCCCATTTGTGTGAACTGTATATGGTAAGGATATATGAAGCACAGTTACAGATATATGGGCAGGTGAACCTGTATGATGCTTTACACTGGATATGGAGGGAATAGTTCTGAGGTAATGCACAAGTCCTCATTTAGAAATAAGATCTCTTTGTTTCATTCAGAGCCTATTAAAAATCTAACCCTGATGCAGATCTACAAAAGGAAGCCCCATTACTCTTATTTGCTTGCTGCCACTTTCTGCCTTTTCCCCTGACTTTACCACCAAATGGTTGTTTCTATTGTCTGCTTAGTCTATTTTAGAAATTGGTACTCCAGCCCACCAGAGACTTTTCCCCACATGTATATTCTTATCACATTCATTTTTATGTCTCATATTTACTTACAGAGCAAATTATGCCATAAGAAATAAAAATGCTCTATAAACAAATTAGACATTATGCCACATAAATCATTTGAGGAAAAATCTGAGTGCATATCCCTTATGTCTTTCAAGTATTGCTGAGGCCAGCCGAATCTAATGATTTAAAGACTCAAGTATCATATTTTGAGATAATCCATTGACTGGCTGAGTGATCGTAGACAAACCACTTAACCTTTCTTCCCTGAAGTGTGATTATCCACAGAAGGGAGATAATCATTCTTAGCTCATAAATGGTTGGTGAGAATCACATTATTTAATGCACATAAATCATTCAGTACTAATATTAAAATCCAAAGTTAAAGCAATTATTTGCTGACTAGACAGGGATCTCTGAAGAGATTTTTATGAAAATAATTATACAGTCAAGTTGAAGTATTCATCTACTTCTACTAACATTGCTACTAACATTGCTTGTAATGGAACTCAAAATTAAATACTCAGGTTTTATTATTTTAAAAATTAAAATTTGATGAACATATTTTCAGCATTCTTAACATTCTTGTTCATTAGATTTATAGTCTTTAGATATGCTAAGCAATGTGGTGGAAACATTCACATTCAGAAGAGATAATTTATATAAAATTTTTGGAAGATTCTGCTCAAACTGGATGTTTAGGGTATCTGAAAGCAAGGGTGGAGTTGTAAAAATGTAAGCAATGGAGAGTGAGTTGGTGCACTAAATCAAGTACTTTTATATAATGGAAGTTTGCCCAGCTTTTAAATTGGGATTGCAGAATAATACTTAATGGAATGAAAAGAGATTCTTATAAACTATAAAAAAGATAAAGACACTTTAGATGATGTATCATTTTTATAAAAATATACATAGAAATTATACCAGAACTACTTTAACTAATATTACCACTGGCTATGTTCTCATATGAATGAGACTTTTAATTTGAAAGTTTTGATTATTTGCATTTTCTAAATTTTGAGATTGAAGTATAATATATTTTAAATCTCACCTCTTAAAACAACAAATAATTTTTATGAAAATCAAATCAAGGGTTAAAGAATTCAATAACATTTTCCTGAGGTCCCTGCTTTCCTTCCAGGCACATCTCTCCATCAGCCTCCTTGCAAAGCCCATCTGGATAGGTTCTTGTGATGAGAAATAGCAAAC